GGAGGTGGAGGAGAACAAGATGTAAGATATTCTTGACTGCTGCTGGTTTCTTCCTCCCACAGGCCTTTCCTACCCCCAAATGCACAAATATCTACTATTTACAATCCGAATAGCCAAGTGAAAATTGACTTAGCCAAATTCCTTAGTAGTCAATGGCAACAGTCCTAACAGAGGCCAGTGGCACCATGAGACTATGAGATACATCCTGAAAAACTAATTTGTTTTCTGGGACTGTGATAAAAACAGGTGTATTGCTTTCCAGTTGTTACAGCACTGTCACTCAGTGTTAGCAGTAACCGACAATTACCATACAGTTGATTAACCAGAACTTGCCATCCCTTCCAAATGCCTGGTGGTTCTGAGACCTGGGAACACCAGCACTTCGATCCCTCTGCCCCAACAGCCTCTCCCCAGATTGCCCCTCTCTCTTCACCTACCCCTTTCTGGGTAAACTGATGAGAAGTGAACTGTGTGAAGCAAATACCTAGGTAATTAACATGGGCCCCAATCCCATGGACCAAGGTTGGAGGAGCCTGGGGAGACCTGGACTATTTAAGAGATATGGGGAGGCCGAAGGTTCTAAACTGATTAAGGGAATACCTCTGAACCCTGGGCAAGGATGTGCAAGGATTGAAGCACTCCTCACAGCAGCCATATAATAGCCCAATTCTGTTTCTAGAGAGACTATTGACCTTCAGAAATGACCAGGACCCAAGCTAGATGTTCATCCCTACCCACCTCCAATTCACTGTGTCTGGTCAAAAATAAGCCAGGCTTTTAGGACAGATAAGGCTGAATCATATTCTACTCTTCCCGCTGTTGACAGAGATAGAATTTCCACAAAGAAGTGACCCCTGAAGGCTTTCCCATGATGAAGCGGGGAGGGGCAAGGGAGTGGAACAGAGACTTGCCCTGCTTCTCACCTGACTGTTACAGTCTGATCCTTGCTGCCAAGGATGAGCCAGGTGCAGGTGGCAGGGGAGCTGCGGCTGTCTCGGCCCAGGGGCCTCTGTAAGATGCCCTGTACTTCCAAAAGCACTGCTGGGGGGTCCACACAGGCTGGTGAGACAGGCAGGGAAACTGGTTGAGAGTCTGTTACCAACCCACCTCTCCCCACAGGCTTGACGCCTGGGTTCTTCAAGAAGGAGCAGACAGCCCTGGCTGGGTAGCTCAGTTGGTTACAGCATTATATCCATAAGCCAAAGTTGCAAGGTTTGACCCTGGCCAGGGCACATACAAGAATCAAACAATGAATACGTAAGTAAGTGGAACAATAAACTGATGTTTCTTTCTCTCCCTCTCTCCTTTCTTGTCTCTCTAAAATTAATTTTTTTTTTAAAAAGGAGCAAAGTTCCCCTGACCACCATACTCTATATAGTCAGTCTTCAGTGGGTCCCCTTCCTCCCCATATGCATCATGGCTTCACCTTAAAAGTAACAAGAGCATAAACAATCTGAGCTCTGCTTTGTGCCAGCCACTGGGGCCACTCGGCCAGGTGGAGCAGGAAATACTGTCTCTACTCTCAGGGAGACTACATTCTGGCTAGGGAAATCAAGCATGGAGACTTGGAAAAAACCCCAAAAGTGCGTAACTGCCAGGTGAGGGCTCATACTGGGTCTCCGTTTCCCCATCTGTAAAATAAAGGGTGGATAATCTCCACTCAGAAACTACGGTAAGTACCAGAAGAATTCAGAGAAGAGAGACTCCTTCTCTTGGGCCTTCCCTCATATTACCAAGCCCCAAGGCCCCAGAGACATCTGCTCACCAGGATTTGGGAAAATTATCCGGTCTGGATGTGCCAGCGCGCCTCCTAGAGGAAGAGCGAGAAAGGGCAGGAGAGGGAGGCATTTAGAAGTTTTCAACTGTACAACTCAAGGGGGAAAAGGAGCCACCTGGGACTTCCCGGTAGTTTATGGGAAGGGGTAGTGAAGCAGGGGGGCTACCGCGTACAACCTCAAAGGTAGGTCCCGCAGCATGGCCCGAGGGGTGGCCCGGAGATCTTGGGAAGCCGGAGGGAGGATGAAGGCTGAGGGAGCGACTAAAGACTTCTTTGGGGCCGGGGCAGGCCCCGCCGAGTGCGGCGGCAGGGCTGGGGGCACGGACTGGCAGGGTAGGCTGAGGGGCAGCAGAGGAGGAACCGAGCTAGAGCGTCCGGGGCCGTGACAGCCCTGGGGGCGGGGTGCCGAGTGCGGAGTTTCGTTTCGGTTTCTCACCCAGAAGGAGGAAGAGTAGGATGGCCGGCAGCATCCTGAGAGGTCCGGAGCAGCAGAAAGGGTTCCGAAGCGTCTGTCGTCTACCCAGTGCGGAGACGGTGCCGCTCCGAGCGTCCAGGCTCCCCAGTGCCGCCTCCCCGAGGGGGCTCCATGGCCCGGGCTCCTTGACCCTTACTCGGGATGCCAGGGCTGGGGGCGGGGAGGCGGCGACGGAGAGCAGGGGCGGTGACTCTCGCCAACTTCGGAGTTGTCTCCCGGGCTGCCGCCGCGTTCCCACTGAAAGCCGCCTCTCGAAGCCGGCTCCCGAAGCCCCGGGAATCGGCTGGAGGCCAGGTTCCGGGGCGCGCCCTCGCCTAGAGCTCGCCCGCAGGCCGCGAGCGCCCGGGTTCAGGCCAGGCCGCCACCTGCCGGGGCTTGAGGCCACTTCCTCTTCGAGCCAAACTTTGCTGCCCCTCACCTGCACGGCGGGCCGGGGGGCCGCTTAACTCATCCAGTGCGTCTACTCGGAGGAACGCGGCAGGAGAGCGGGGAAGGGGACAGGAAGCACTGCCCAGCTCCCCGGCCCTCGTCGGGCGGCACCCTAGGGCTCCGAGCAGCCGGGGCAGAAGAAGGGGGCGGGGACCGGCCTAGTCCCGCCCGCGCGCTTTAACCCCTTTCCTGCACTGCCGGGACAGGTCCGACAGGCTTCCCGACGAGCACTCGGTCTCCAGTTTTATCTCGGCCGTGTTTATTCCTGTCGGTGTAACTCGTTTGTTTCAGGACACGTTTGTCAAAGACAACTGCTTATTCCGTAACTGTCATGTCTTTCCTTTGGACTCAAGCTCTCAGGACTTTTCTTGTGCCAGTATCTGAGCTCCGGTAGCACTTTTTGTAGTTAGCCTCTATTATAGAACTTACCACTCGGAGTAATAACTATTTGTTTACTCGTCACTCCAGGCCCCGCCCTGCCTCTTTTCCGAAAACTGAAACTTCCTGTTTACCTTTGTACCCACAAGGCTTCTCTCCGGCTCCGACACAGAAAAAACTCAATAAATGGTAAATAAATGAGTAAACGTGACTTCCCCACTTGCTGGCTTTGTGACCTTGAGAAAATTATTTAACCTTCCTGTGCTTCTCAGTTATGAAATGGTGGTAATAATCGTGCATCTCCCTGGTAAGGTTGTCAATCCTTTAGGGAAATAATGCAAGTTGAGCATATAGAAGGTGCTCCATACCTGGTAGTAATAATAATTATTACTCACAGGAGATATTTATAACTTATGGGAGCTCGGGGTTACCGATTTCCTGTGGCACTGATAGGTAAGATTAATAATACCGAGAGCAAATATTTTTTGAGCTTTTTTTTCACATTTCAGGCACAAATCTAAGCACTTTTCGAGTTTTTGCTCTTTTATTCCTCTCGGCAATCTTGAGAGGTAAGATACTATTGTTATTCCCATTTTACAGTTAAGAAAACTCCGGGTTCAGAAAGATTAAGTATTTTTCCCAAGATCATGAATCTAGTACATGCTGAAACAAAGTTTTGAACCTAGGCGATCTTGCTTTGGATAGAACGTACACTTGGGTCCTTACTACTCCCGCTGCTTTACAAATGGTGCAAAACAGTTTTATGCTAATGACATTGGCTTCGATATGTTCAAAACTGGGATTTCCGCGGGGCCTGAAGCCACAGAACTGGCCAGGAAAAGGCCTTTTCGCCACTTGGACCCATGCCTCACCTCTCTCTGCTCTCTACTGCAGCCCTTGGGATTAACAGGGGTGAGATAGACCCTCCATGTAGGAGGAGGATGTTGAGCAAAGGCAAGAGAGGCAAAGAGGTTGAGGGAATTAAAAATATTTAAGTTCTGAAAGCGATCATGGAGCTTTTAGTAGAGTGTTTGGCTGTGTTCTCCATGCTGGGTCCTTAGCTGATGCCTGGAACTCTTAGGACTTCACCTTAGCTTCAGGGAGCTTTCAGTCTAGTTGGAAAAAGAGGTCAGATACACAAATTAAAAAGTCAGAGAGCCATGGGGAGTACCCATGGCAGCCAGAATGTGGGTGGTTGGGAAATGGGGACAGTTGGGAAAAGAAGCAGGACAGATGGTGGTGAGATGGGAAGAGTTGAGGGAGGAAGGAGGAAGAGAGCCCATGTCTGGTATGCTGAATAAACAGAAAATTGCTGAAAATAAAATCAAGATCTATGCTGTTGGGAGGAATCATCATCATCACCACCATCATTCGGAAGAAACTGCACCAGAGTAGAACAATAGCCAATACTTTCTGAGCTTTTTATTACTTATTAGAATGACTTCCAAGTACAAGGCACTGTGTGAAACATATTTGAGAGTGAATTCAAACCAAAAAAAGATGAGGAAGAAAAGAGGACCAAGGTGCTTATAATGAGTTTAAGCTTCAATTTGTTTAGTGAGGTTAAGTGTCCAGGCTTACACAAATCACATCCTAGACCATCAAGTACATGTAGGAATGGGTCTATGGAGATACGGTTAGAATTCTTTCAGGAATTATGAAAAATAATGGAAGCAGAGGAATATGGGCAGAAGTTTGGTTTTCAAAATGACAGCACAACTTTTACAGAGTACTCACTGTATGCTTGGCGCTGTTCTAAGTACTTCACGTATCATTTAATCCTCACCATACCTCTAGGAAATTATAAAACCTCCTTGTTTTATAATTGAGGAAACGGAATCACAGATAGTTTGGATAATTTGCTCAAGATCAAACTACTAGCACGTGCAGGAGCCAAGGTGTTACCGTCTCAATATTTGTGTACCGCAAATTCTTTTTTTCTAGTGTATCAATAAAAATACTGGGTTTAATATGCATGAAACCAAAAAACCAATGATGCCAGATACTGCATTTATATTGTACTGTGCTTTGAACACTGTCCCCCCAAATTCTTTTGTCGATTTTCCTAACCCCGAGGATGATTGTCTCAGGAGGCGGGCCTTTGGGAGATGCTTTGGTCGTGAGGGTAGAACCCTAGACTTTTCTGCTGTGCGAGGACACAGTGAGAAGGCACTGGCTGTGAACCAGGGAGAGAAACTTCACCAGAAGGTGACCACGTCGGCCCTTAACCTTGGACTTCTGAACCTCCTGAATTGTGGACAATAAATTTCTGTTGTTTATAAGCTACCCAGTTGGTGGTAATTTTTTTTTAAATAGAAGACTGAATGGACTAAGACAGAAACTTGGTCCTGAGAAGTGGGGGTGCTGCTGTAACAAATGCCTAAAAATGTAGAAGTGGCTTTGGGGCTGGGTAATGGGTAGAGCCCGGAAGAGTCTGGAGGTGCATGCTGGAGACAGCCTCCATTGCCGGGAACAGACTGTTAAGGGCAATTCTTGTGAGGGCTCGGAAGAGGAAGAGGGCTTCGGTTTTCTTAAAGAATACGTATGTGGATGCAAAAATGTTGTTAGAAATATGGACAGTGCAGGTTATTCTGAGAGGTCTCAGATGGAGTTGAAGGGTATTGGAAAGTGGAGAAAAGGGGATCCAAAGTGGCAAAGAGCTCTGCTTAACTCCGTTTGAGTCCTAGTGTTGTGAGGAAGGGAGAACTTGTGAGCAATGAAATTGGATATTTGGTTGAAGAAATTTCTAAGCAAAATGTTGAACAAGCAGCCTGGTTTCTCTTGAATGCTTATACTAAAATGCAAGAAGACAGTACAGGTGGAATTTGTCATCAAAATGGATGTAGAATTTAAAGATTTGGAAAAATATTTTCTTTAGCCTTTTAATTATTTTTATTGCTCAAAAAAGTTTCATTTTTTAATTTAGCTTTCTGACTCTGTGCTCATGCCTTCAATACTTTCACAACAATTTTCTGCTCCTCAATAAGGAAGGCACGCTTGATCCTGTCACGGACACACTGAGCACACACGGGTCCACCGTAGGCTCCGCTGACCGTTTTTTTTTGTTTCAGACGACCTCATTAGAACTTTAGGTGTCACAGCACGAACTCCACGATGTCGGCCTGGGCACATGCCACATGCAGATTTTGGTGCTTTCTCAACCTTTTTGGTATAAAGGTAAACAATTCTATTGCCAGGGGTTCAGGACAGTCTCGTTTTGTTGGAGGCCGTATTGTAGGACAGCCTCCGATGGTATGTCAAACGCTGGACCATTGTGAATATCTAATGACACCGTTCCCCTGGAAAATTCTTATCACTGTCTAATATAGTATATGTTTTATGCATTTACCTTGCTTCCTGCCTGCTCCTCTCACAAGAATGTAAGTCTAATGGGGGCAGGGATTCATTTGTTAGCTGGTGTTTCCTCGGTGCCCAAGTACAAAGTAGGTAATAAATGTTTGTTGAGTGAATCAATTAGTCAGTGACCATCAGCCATAGGCATTACATAGATTATATCTTTTAATCTACTCAATTACCCTTTTTACTATTAACCCCATCATAAAGAAGAGAAAATTGAAGCTTAGGGAAGATGTATAATGTGCTGAAATTCACCCCAATAGTAATTGTACAACTGGATTCAAACCTAAATCCTGTCATTCCAGAGCCCTTGCGTCTGATACTGTGCGGTACTGCCTCTGGTGTACTAGAAACTATGTTTAAAAAACTGGTAAGATGCATTAGTCCAGAGGAGGGCGATATGAATGGTGTGGGGTCTTTAAGCCATATCATGTGATAGGCTGTTTGTGGAACCAGAAAGTTTTACACATAAAGAAAAGCTTAACTTTCATGAGGGATTGAATACACAAAAACTAGATCCAAATATTTGAAGAGCTGTAGTGTAAAGCAAAAATTTGTTTATATTGTGTAGTCTGGAGAGCAGAAACAGGAATTAATGGAGCAAATAAAGAAAGTCAGCCTATTCCCTGCTCGAGGCACAGAAAACTGGGGGCGCAGGTAGGGTGAATGCAGAGGGACATCTGTCCCTGTGTCTTCAGGGCTCCTTGACGACTATGGACTCCCTCACGGCTTTCAGGGTGTCAAAACTTCCCAGAAGAGAAGGGCAAAGGGAAATTCTGAGAGCAAGTTGCCTTAGATGGTCACATGAAGCCAAAGAAAGTGAAAGAATGTACGTAATTGCGCTTTTATTTCAAAAGAGCAGAATTCCTAAAATGGGATTACTGGGTCAGAAGCTATAATCAAAGGGAGTATGTAGGTTTTGTTTGTTTGTTTGTTTGTTTGTTTGTTTAATGGTCAGGGAAGGCTGCTCTAGGAGATGACAATGGAGTTGAGATCAGGAAAATGAGAACCACAGAAAAGAACTTTTATTGTCCTCATTTAATTTTTTAAAAAGATTTTATCGATTTATTTTTAGAGAGAGGGGAAGGGACAGAAAGAGAGAAACATCCATGTATGGTTGCCTCTCACAATGCCCCTTACTAGAGACCTGGGCCAAAACCCAGGTATGTGCCCTGACTTGGAATAGAACCAATGACCCTTTGGTTTGCAGGTGGGCACTCAATCCACTGAGTCACACCAGCCAGGGCAAGTGTGTTGTTTTTAATTGTAATAGGTGGTGCAGGTAACTGTTTCAGGAAAATTTTAGAGCAGGTCACATTCCTGTAAGTTTGAATGTACTACTCTCCAATTCTCTTCACCAGCATTGGATGTTACTGCCCTCATTTTCTTTGATACTCTAAATGAAAAAATTACAACTGGCCCTGACTAGTGTGGCTCAGTGGTTTGAGTGCCTGCCTGCAAAAGAAAAGGTTGCCAGTTTGATTCCCAGTCAGGGCACAAGCCTGCTGGCCAAGTCCCCAGTAGGGGGCGTGTGAGAGGCAACCACACAGTGATGTTTCCTTCTTTCTCCTTCCCTTCCCCTCTCTCTAAACATAAATAAACAAAATCTTTTTTAAAAACTTGTAATTGGTTTATTTAATTTGCATATCCCAAACTACAGTGGGGTTGGTCATCTTATATCGTTTAGCCACTTGACTTACCTAGTCACTAATATCCTTTGGTCATTTTCCTTTTGAGTTATGTTTTTCCTATCAATTTTTAGTCTCTCTTATTTTTTTTCATTTAGATGTAGATGTTTGATTCAGAGACATTTTCACAATCTATTGTTTGTCTTTTCAGATTTATTATCTTTTTCCCATTAAAATTTTAAATTTTATGAAAAAAAAGTGAAAGAAGGAAAAGGCCTGGGGTGGAAAGAAAGGTCGGCCACAGTTTCAGTAAGTTTCTAAAAATCCTCATTGGGGATATAGAGGAGGTTGGGTTAAAAAGACATGACTGGAGAAGGAATGCAGACAGCTCTTGGAAAACCTTGGCTTGAGAGAAAAAGGGGAGGTTGGGGAAATCATCCAAGACTGCAGAAGTATGCAGAAGAGAGCTTTTCAAGATGGGGAAACTTCAGTGTTTGCAGGGAGTGGGGAAGTTGAAGACCCTACCATATGGTTAGGGGAGCAGGCTTGCTTGTGCTTTGGAAGAGCATGAGGCGGAGGGCTGGGGACACCTCTTGGAGGTCTGAGAGTGACCTCAATCATGACCATTGTTTGAGCCCCTGGTATATTACAAAATTAAATACTAAGACAGTTTTGATAATACTTGGTATATTTGAAATGTTTATATTTAGCAAGTGAAACTTTTGACACCAGGCAATAATATAGTGCTATTCACAAAATACCTACAGACAATTTTTTAAACTTCAAAATTTAAGAACCTTGTAAGTATGAGGCTGAGCTTAAAGGATTCTCCTGGCCCCAGGGTGCGGATGAGTTTAGGAGGATGTGTGCAGGTTAGAGGCTCTCCTCATCCCCCAAGGTCTCCAAAGGCCGCAGAGAAGTGTCACGGAAATGTCCCACCCTTACATAGAGGCGTTACAGAGGCCCGCTTGCCTTGGTTAGAGGGAGTTCTGTCACAGCATTCTGCAGTCCAGGAGAGCGGACCCACCTGGACCCCCAACCAGAAGCCTAGGCGATCAGCATCCTGGAGTGATCAGTGTCCGAGGCATCCACAGGGGGGCAGTGTGACAACTCAGAGGACCTCTGAAGAGAGGGCTACTAAGTGTCTCTCTTCCTCCCGCGGATCTTCTGTCCCAACCCCTTCAACATTGTCCTTCTCAGAGTTATTCGAGGGCTGCCCACCAACCCCCACACAGGGACGGGAGAAGGAAACTCTGACAAAGCCCTCTCTGCACCTGGAAGACTAAGGCTTGCCATCTTGTCGTGTCCATAGCACCACCCCTTTAAGTGCAGGTGTCCTGGGTGGAAACATGAAAAGTGGGAAGGGGGTCGGGACAGGCTGGTGGTATCTGTAGTCCTGTGCAGGGAGGGGTGGGGCAGTTGGTTTTGCCTCTCCTTCTCTTACTTCGGGCTTGATTTGCAGTGCCAATACCCAGCACAAGGGGGAGCTGCCACCTTCCAAAACTTGCCCAGCTGGTCTCTGCTGTGTAGGGGGGGGTGCACTGCCCGCAGAGAGGGGTGGGTCTTTGGTCCCCTTCCCCAGTTTTCCTCCACCCAGAACTTACATGCAGTTTTGTGCAGGCATAGGGTGGGGGTACCTCTGGAGCACAGGCCAGTAGAGTGGAGGAGACAGGGGACAACTGGAATGGAGCTTAGAGTGCTGTAGGGAAGAGACCCTGCTGCTGAGCTCTCCAGGTCAGGGTCCAGAAGCGGCCGGGACAGGGATACAGTCGGAAGGATCTATATTTCCAGAAGAGCTGGGCCAACACAACCCAGTACTCGCCCCTCCCCCTTTAGGGGGAGGCTGGTGGGGAGCGTCGGCGTGGAGGGAAGAGGCCTATAGGGACAATATAGTGGTTCTGGAGCTATAACCCTCTTTACCTCAATATATTCTTCTTTCTTTCTTTCTCTTTCTTCTTTCTTTTGTCTTTTAGCCTTTTAAAGATTGAGGTGATGCCCTGGCTGGTGTGGCTCAGTGGGTTGAGCACGGGCCTGCAAACCAAAGGATCACAG